CTGCCATGGGCAGGGGCACCTTCCACTAGCCCAGAATGGTTTGGGTGGAAAGGGAACTTAAAGCTCATCCAGTTCCACCCCCATGGGGCAGGGACACCTTCCACCAGCCCAGGTTGCTCCAAGCCCCGTCCAACCTGGCCTTGAACACTCCCAGGGATGGGGCATGGATGTATAAAATCTGTTTAACACACAGACACAGGTTGTTGGTACCTTTAGCCCCGTGTAGAGGTCCCTGTGCAGCCTCTCCATGATCAGCAGCACAGCAATGCTGGAGCCTCCTCCATAGCCATAATCTATCACAGATCCATGGAGGTGCACGAGCCTCTCATGTGTCTGCAGGGACCTGGAGAAGGTTCAGCACAGAAAACTGGTCATTTTTTATCCCCTCCAGCCCAGGCCAAGCCTCTCCTCCTAAAGGGAGCACGCACAGCAATAAGGTCCTGTGCAGGAAAAATTCACAGTTCAGAGCACCACAAGAATATCCAGCTGCCTGAGCCAATTAAACTCAAAAAAGCCCTATTAAAGGTTATAGTTCCAAACAAAATCCTGTCTTATTTCAGCTGTCTGTGCTGAAGCACCTGCCTGCAGCTGTTTACTGAAAACAAGCTGCTTTCTGCACTGCAGAGCCATCATTTCCCTTTGTGCATTCAGACAGGTTGGGAAAGGGGGGATGATTCAACACCAAAAAATCAGGGGAGAAGAACTGTTTGCTATAATAGTCTATTAATTCTAATTTACTCCTGCAAAACAGCAGGAATTTGAAGAGCACAGGCACCAGGGAATCAGCTGGAGGCAGGGAGGAGGATGTTTGCCCACCGCTCTGTGCCCGTTCCACTTGGCAGTGACACTGGCAAGGTGCCCTGGCGAGGTCAGGAATGGCAGCTTGGCATTCCACGGGGTCAAATCACTGCCTCCAGAACAAAACCAGAGGAAATCAGGCCCTGCCTATGCCATTGAAATGTCTGCAGCAGAGCTGGACGTGGCACTCAGGGCTCAGGTCTGGGTGACAAGGGGGGGATCGGGCACAGGCTGGGCTGGACCTCGGAGGCCTTTTCCAACCCAAACAACTGTGAAATTAAGGAGGAGGAGAAAAGCCCTCAGGATACACACCTCATATAGTGAAACTCGAGTGCAAGGTCATTCCAGTGCTTCTCATCTGGAGGAACAACGGACTTGAGGGCGCAGGGGAAGTG